TACATACATATATATACATATGTACTATATTATACATATGTACATATGTACATATGTACATATGTACATATGTACATATGTACATATGTACATATATACATATATACATATATACATATATATATACATATATATATATATATATATATATATATATATATATATATATATATATATATATATGGTAGAAAAACCCACAATGTAAAAACTAGATTATTGAAAATGAAAGTGAGACGACAGTTTCGGAATCCACCTGGATTCCATCCTCAGGTCTGAAGAGGAAAGGGAGAGGAAGGGGTATAAGAAGGAGAGACGACAGGGAACACGGTGACACGGGGCAGGTGAGGACAGACGGACGGAAGCGAAGGGAGGTCAGATCAGGTCGGGTTTTCCTCATTCATATATACATATATATATATACATATATATATATATGTATATATATATATATATATATATATATATATATATATATATATATATATATATATATATATATATATATATATATATATATGCATAAATAATATATATGTATATATATATATATATATATATATATATATATATATATATATATATATATATATATATATATATATATATATATATATATATATATATATATATGCATAAATAATATATATGTATATATCTATCTCTATATCTCTATATCTCTATATCTCTATATCTCTATCTCTATCTCTATCTCTATCTCTATCTATATATATATATATATATATATATATATATATTAGATAGATAGATAGATAGATATAGATATAGATATATATATACATATAGATATATATATATATGTATATATATATATATATCTATCTATGTATATGAATATATGTATATGAATATATGTATATGTACACACACAAACAGGGTATAATCATAATATCTTTCTTCCAAATATATCTTAGTCTGACAAAAGCTTGCGACAGAGTGCCACTTCGACTAACCTGAGACTGAAGTACTGTGTGCACTGGGATAGCAGTCGGAGCGTAGCACCACGTGCGCTGGTGGACGGAACCCACAAAGGCAAAGGGGCCTTTAGTACCACCTTGAAGAAAAAAGAGAGAATATAATATTGAATAACTAAAGGAAAAACTTTTTTCTCTCTCAGTTAAGGCAAAATCTTACTCCAAATAAACAGAACAAAGAAAATCTTAACCAAGAATGAAATATGCTATATATTCTTGCACGTTAGACCAAAGTATAGAATGGTATTTTACTTGTAGTAGTACATTGTTACTTGTACTCTTATATGTGAAATGCCCAACAGACCAATATCAGTAAGTGAGACACAGCTGACTCTACTCATCAGCTTAGCCTCAGATACCAACAAAGAGAGACCAAGTTCCAAGAGAAAATAGGTTTATCTCTTTTATACATTTGCCACACACAAAAAAAAAAGGAAAATCATCAAGTTGGTGGTATAAAACTTCATAGGATATGAAGCAATTTAAGAAAGAAAATCCGGATTTATGTGTGAGGAATAAAACTGCATTCCTCCTCGTGAACTGTGCTTCCAAGGCTGAGAAATCTCAAACACGCAAGCACAGTTAACATGAAATAATATTCCACATTTTATAAAATAATTCAGTCATTGACAAAAAGGGATCTGAAAGCTCCCTAGGCCAATCAGAATAATGAATAGTATTCCTAATTTCCATATGAACTGGGAGACAAACTAGCTAGGAGAAGAAGGCTTCAAAAGGGAGAAATTACTTCTTCCCACACACCAAAAGCTCTGGGTCCTTAGCAATGCACTGCACAAACTTCCTAAGTAGCATAACACCATTCAATCCTTTAAAAGGTGAGAGCTAACTACATTAACAATCCATAAGGAAGGTGAAATCTACAACCTACAATAAAAAAAACAAAAAAATATTACAAATAAAGATTGGAAAATTGAAGGCATAAATCACAAAAAGCTCATATACAAATGTGACTTACATGCTGAGCATGGAGACATATAGACAAGACTGCATAGACAGCAGTACTGTTGTCTACCCTTCCTAGCTCAGCCAGGCACTAGCCACATACAAGCCTTGCTGGGTCCACGGAGTGTGGTGTAGTATTTTAACCCTGGAATTCTGATTTTTTAGCTACTATTAAAATCCCTTTATCATGTCCCTTCTCTAAAAGACTCATCTGAAACTGCTATTGACCCCTGGTATATTATGTAGCAGTACCAAATTCTCTACTGAGAATACTACTCTCTTGACAAAGTAAGCCTGAAAGTATTGGCATTAGCACATCAGTGATCACAAACTTTCTGCATGATTTTACCATATCTGATAACAATGCACAACCCCTTCTGTCTTGAACAAAAAATTTCTTATAAAAAAATATCTCAAAAATTAAGATAGCCAACTATTCAGTGATGATTATATGTAAAAAAAATACTTAGGAATCCTAACTGTTTCAAATTAATCTGACATTCAAATACACAGGACTCAGACCTCAACTACAAATACTTGCATGTCATGTGCAAAAATCATAAAAATGAAAATTCAAAAACTGATAATCCAACTGATGTCTATTCTATATAAAAAAAAAAATCCAGCCATGGATATTCTACCAGTATCCAAGAGCCATACAAGGCTAACCCAAGATAAACTCAGGACAACAAACACATTTATCACTGAGCAAGAGAAACCAAAGATGAGGAATGAGATTTACTTCCAATTTTCTAAAAGCTTTTTTCTCCTCTTCATAATAAGCTTAATAAAACATTAGTATCCACAGTAAATGAGAGAAATGAAAGTATATATTCTCTACTAAATTTTCTGCTAGAAAAAATGCCTTTGGCATAAAGCATATATCTAATTCCTGAGCTACGTGGATCTTTTAATTAAACAATCATTCTTAAACACAGTTCAAAGTAATAATGTACCATTGGGGACATGAAAGATCAGCAGCACAGTCCCTTGAAGTTATTTTCAACACCTGGTATTATTGTCTTACATGTTACCAACAATTGTTACTTGTGCATCATAGTTCTCAGTCACATTTAGTAATTATTACAGACAAAACAAGTGGTTACTATGAAAATCAGTACATGAACCTGACCAAAATAATGCAATATACACACTAATTGCATAAAAGAAAGTGTAACATTTATGAAATAACTGTCAAGGCAACCATACTGTAAAATATGATACTAATATTGTTAAGAATCTGACATACAGTTTACAGCAACTCAGTTCTCTATCAATGATGTTCCTTGTAAAGGCCAAAATACATCTATTTAACATATTATACATAGGGGAATATATTTGTAATGTGTGTAATGTGTGTAAGGTTCATTTAAATGAAACTATCAAAGCACATTGGCTAGTGATTTTTCAATTCAAATATTAATGGGAAGGAAAAAGTGAAGCACACTGGACTGTTTGCTTTACATATGCCAAAGTTCTTTGCCAATTTATAATACTACCAACCATTTTTTAAATTAAATTCCTGTAAAACAGAATGGATGCTAATATTGTATCATAATTTACAAGATCACAAAGCCTGACAGTTATTCTATATTACAATTTTGCAATTAATTATATTGAACAGATTAGTAATAATAATAACAATGTTTATTCCCAGAATGTGCACACAAACAAACACTGATGATTTTGTGCTGACTTTCACATAGCCATTTATTAACCCTTAACGGATGGGTCATGCCTACAAGCATCAAAATATACCACTTGGTCTGCAGAGTACAGCTGTACACGCGGTGACTCGCTAGAGCATGTGGGGCAAGACGTTCTGCTACTTGATGCCAAATATCACCAGAGTTCATGACGCTCAGGGATTTTTAATACCCATTATCATTGAGTTAACAAACTGACAATTATTTACACACTGGGTGCCAGCACAACCTTAACTGTTCTTGGCAACCTCACAAAACAGAGTTACAAGGTGTAGAAAACATCTACACAAGTATTATGCTGACTTTGCTGTTGACCTTTCATCTACATCCAACAAAACATTACTCTCAATATATTAATATTAGTTAAAATATGCACAATCTGTTCCATGCAGAGATAAGAAACTGTAAAAAGTTTTGACCCACTGATGTTGGCAGTGCATATATACATGCAACATAAATTGTGATTTTATTCTATCAATTTAGATTCCAAAATGCTTAGTACCTAAAGAATCAATTAAAGGGCACACCTAACCTCATCTATTTGCTCATTCCCTGAATTCTCAGGAAAAAAGATTTGGATTGTTATTACTATTATAACTTCATAATCTTAAAACAACACTGGCGTTGATGCTAATAATGGAAGTACTGACAACAATAATAGTAACTATGAAAATTCAAGGCAAGGAGTAAACAGATCAGGTAAGGTTAATAATCGACTCCTTCGTGACTTTGTGCTTGTGGAGCCATCTGTGTAAACAAAATTAATAAAACTACCACAGTTGACATTGCATGTACCCAGCACCAATGAATTAATCTATTGGTTTTGTATTTATCACCTAATTCCTTTTAAGTAAATGAAAAGCTTTTGCATGGAAACCTAGTTCCCTGAACATCACAACAAATTATTTTAGGGTTTGTAACAAAACTTTGAAGAAAATTTTGTCTCTGCCTCTAGTATCAACAAAATCAATAAACAGTACAATAAACTCACTAAATCTTGTAACATTTTAAAATATCCTAAGACATACACAAAAAATGTGCTTAGAACAACAACATAAGCCACTATCAATAACTCCAACAAAATAAAACCAAAAATAATCAGTGTTCAAGATTTGTAAGTCTTCTAAACTTGAGCCTGACTGATTGATTAAAGTACATTCATATCACAGAACCATGCTCTTGCAAAACATGAGATAAAATAAATGAACCACATCCTCTTTTTCTTCACTATTAAATTGAACACCTGTACCTAACATACCACAGAGTTCTTGCTGCTGTACTCATTAGAATTGTCAAATCACTTACCTGAGTAAGAAACTGTTTGGGATGCATCTCTATTGGTGTAGAGATGTTGATAAGGTTGGTGAATTGTAGGTATGCAACTTCTCGTACCTCCTGTGAACTACATCCAACCAGCACATCAACAAGGAAGTCCTTCACGTTTGCCATCCCATACCACCGTTCTGCATTCCAATGTGTACTTTCAGTTTTTGCATTAAACAATATTATCACTACTTTAGCACTGATTTTGTGGATTACTATGAATTAGTATGGTACTAAATTATATTTATAATTGTCAAATATAAGTATCTTTGCTCCTCTTACAGAACTACTCTCATTATCATCCTTACTGTTGTATTAGCAAGTTATCAGTATCAAAACTAAATCTAAAAGGATATTTATATCTCAAGAGATTTTTTTTTATCATATAGATAATGCCTTCCTAACTGTTACTTCACACTTAATGCAATAACTGTTTCTACATATGACGATTCTTACCTATGTGCTGAGGACGGAATCTTAAGAAGGCTATAAGAAGGTGTAATGATTGAGAGGCAATGAGAGAATCAACGGGTGGAATGGTTGTCTGCTGTACACACACGCCTCCTTGTAGTACACCCTCACTATCACTACTTGAGCTGTGACTGCTTCCTGTAAGAAGAATTGAGAATCCTCATTATTCTTAGCTCATATGTAAGGAAAGAGATTAGAGGTGAAAGAAGTCACTAGCAGACATTCATTAACCCTGCTCCATTATTGTTACTGTGGGGAAAACTTACAGCTAACAACTGTTCTCCAGTGAGACTGAGGGATGGATGGCACACCTTCCTACCATAGCAATTTAGAGTGCTCTTAGACTGGGGACCAAGCACACATTCTTTGTGAAATCTCTGTTACCCATTCTTGGGGGTAGTAGTTGTTCCTTATCTCAAACTCAGAAGTATGTTTCTGCCTAATACTTAACACAACACTGTATGGCGACAGGTCCTGTTGTTAATGGTGACCTGCCACACTACCTTGTCTCCGTTCAATTTTCATTCTGCCCCTACCCCCCAGCAATCTTATGTCCTCTTTTTATTCCATCCTTAACATTTATTTAGGATAGGAAAGTCATCTTGGGGGTTTATGTGCATCATCTGATCCTCCCTTTCCTGTGCAAACTGTCATCCCCCTAGCTGCCCTCTGTGAGTAATTGTTCAATTTCAGTTTCTAACACTGATTAAAACATTTTATTCTTCATGGAGGTACATGGAGGTCTGGGGTGGCTCTAGCCTTTACTTTACATTAAGGATGTTATATTACCCCTCCCACTTTCTTCATGCAATAATAATAATGTTACATACCAGTGCTGCTTTGTCGTGATGACTTGTTAGTCTCAGGGGGTGAGAGAGCAGGGTCTCTCAGCGTAAGTGTTGCCAAGGACAGGTAGAGCTTGCCCGCAGCTCCTGCCCAAGCTACTCTCATGAGGCTGGAGACCATTTCACACCATTCATCCAAGCTCATTCCCTTGAGGGAAAAAAAATATATATATATATGTATTTTCATATTCATATTCCCATGAGCCTGAAGTGACAACGCCTCTTGGCAGAGACAGATAGACAGGCAGACCAACATTACTATACAAAAAGAGTCTGTTTTATCTCAAAATGAAGGAGTTAAACAGATATTGAGTTTTCTCTAGACCGTGGAATAATATGAATATTATGACATTGAATTCAACTGAACTTTATTACACCTATAGTACCTACAGATAATTATCTCAAACATATCAATAAACTGGAATCTTTCCATAAAGTGTTCTTGTCCTATAGCTGTTGACACCATTACAGTTTTTATAACAAGTAATAACTGAATCTGAAAAGATGACTGAATAGGCCATGGAGATTATTACATATTGGTGATCCGTCTGGAACCTAAACTAGAGGCCATTAAATAGAGTGAGACAGAGAGAAAAAGAAAGACATACAGATACACAGACATATGATACACTTGCACACATGTGTTAGGGAGACTCACCACTATGACTTTGTTGGCAATGATAGGAGTAAGGGATGAGTATGCCAGAGGGGGAGGACTGGCTTGGGTTGACGGGTCCAGAGCGGATCGCTTTGGTGGACCCGGGTGAGGTTGCTGGCTTGTGATGGGTAATTCCTGCCCTATTGTTGCAGAACCACAGAGCAAATACCTGAAGAAGAGAATAATAGAGTAAGGATTCCTGCTGATCAGAAGACCTTTACGTTTTATACTGTTCCCAGCATCTTACACTGAAATTATAATCTATTATAATCTGCAAAATCAAATCAGTTGCTCTGAAATCAACAGATCATTCTTACCTTAGTATCTGTAAAGTTATGAGGTAGACACTTTGACGAATTTCATAGTCAACATCTTGAGGAAGAGAATCCCTCTGCAGCAGGGCGGTAATGAGGCTCAACCCACTACACATGAGAAATTCTTCACAAAAATGTGCACTGCCATGCATTGTACCTTCTTGGGAAACTGGCATAATTTTTCCTGACAGAACCTGCAAATATTCACAGAAATACTGGTGAAACAGAAATGGGGTGTTAGGGAGACTCACCACTATGACTTTGTGGCAATGATAGGAGTAAGGGATGAGTATGCCAGAGGGGGAGGACTGGCTTGGGTTGACGGGTCCAGAGCGGATCGCTTTGGTGGACCCGGGTGAGGTTGCTGGCTTGTGATGGGTAATTCCTGCCCTATTGTTGCAGAACCACAGAGCAAATACCTGAAGAAGAGAATAATAGAGTAAGGATTCCTGCTGATCAAAAGACCTTTACGTTTTATACTGTTCCCAGCATCTTACACTGAAATTATAATCTATTATAATCTGCAAAATCAAATCAGTTGCTCTGAAATCAACAGATCATTCTTACCTTAGTATCTGTAAAGTTATGAGGTAGACACTTTGACGAATTTCATAGTCAACATCTTGAGGAAGAGAATCCCTCTGCAGCAGGGCGGTAATGAGGCTCAACCCACTACACATGAGAAATTCTTCACAAAAATGTGCACTGCCATGCATTGTACCTTCTTGGGAAACTGGCATAATTTTTCCTGACAGAACCTGCAAATATTCACAGAAATACTGGTGAAACAGAAATGGGTAAAAAGGCCTGTATTTTCATATCCTACCATCTAAGAAAACTAGCCTAAGCAGTCATTTAAAGAAACATCTGCATGACTCCAATTAATAAACTACAAGGAAATTTTTGTTCCCAAAAATATCTGTCTACCTTTTCTTTGAATGTTCTTTACTGAACATTCAAAGACATAGTTCTGAATAGTTTTCACTGTGCAGTCAAATTCTGGTAGTATAATCTCAAAATAATATTTTTTTTCCCACATTTTATTTATTCAATAAATTAAATAGTAAAAACAACAACTCCTACCTCCATATTATACAAAAGCCTGAAAGGTGTCATATCAGTTGCTTCAAGATCCAACAGAGTGCGCAGAATTTCCTTTCCGGTTTCTCTCTCCTTTTCTTTATCCCTGACTTTGTCTCTTTTAGCAGGTGAACCATATGGTGTGGTTCTCGGACTAACATCTGAAGGAATACTTCCTCCACTACAAATGTGATCAAATTTATCTGCAACACTTGGATCAGTTGGGACAAGATACAGCACACGACGAACAGCCTCAACAATCCTGTATGTAAAGTAAATAAATAAATAAAAGTACAACCAAATAAAATGCATAACAAAAAAATATGCAACAAAATGAAAAAAATACAAAATTTGAAGAAAAAAAAGCATCTACAAAAAAAATACTTCAACCAGAATTTGTTACTGTAGATATGTGTTTACTAAATAATACTTAAACATAAGAAACACAGACCTTGGCTCATCAAGAAGTGCCAGCTGATACAGCATAGAGAAGAAATCTTTTCCCTGACTGGACATGACGACTCCTGGCAACTGCTTCTCTTGTTCCAGGTTGTATTGGCTTCCCTGACAGTCTCCAACAGCTGCAGAGGCTCCACCTGCTGCTTCCATCCGGGATGGACCTGCGACAGTTGCCATGGCTCCTGAGCCTCCTGCTGCACCCACATCTGAGATACCACTTTCAACCGTATCACAGTAACTTGCAGCACTTGGTAGCTCATCCCAGTTGTCCCCAACCTTTAGGATAAGTTTAAAAAGAGTTAGGGAAAAGCAGAAGCAGTTGATATTTATTAAAGGACCAAATGATCAATAAATTCATCTTAAGCAATGAGACATAGGACTTTAATGAATCACAAATATAATATAATATGTATATATGTAAACAAAATATTCAATAATACTAACTTCTTTCAGTTGAGCAGCACCAGTTGTATTTATCTTGGCAACAACAGGAGTATTTGTGTGAACACCAATGTGGTGCAGTAATCTATTGTCTTGATCAGCTGCAGAAATTAGCGCTCCACTACCGCCTTCACCAAACATCAGAGTATGAACCTGATCTAGCGACACCCGTGCAAGGTTGGCAATCTTCCCTCGTATCAAGCCAATCCGTTCATTGCTGTGGCACTGCAGAGACACATCATGATGAAAGACAAGCATTAAAACATGATGACATTATTGCTGATATAGGCTTGCATGAAATAAATACATTACATAATGTAGGCAACAAAATCATCTCTTCCTTGATCATCTTACATAAAAATCTAACTCTTGATGCACATTCACAGGACAAAAGAGGCCTTTCCCAGACCCATATATTACAATAACTAACCTCTAGTTTCATATCCAACTTATTAGAATCACAAGTAATGTTGAGAATGATGGGTACGCCAGTAAAAGAGGCACCGTGAGGGGGTAATGAGCGAGGGCCAGGGTGCTGTTCCTCTATGGAGCTGATGTAGCGTTCAGCAAGCACCAGTACACGCCGGATGTGCTGAATGCAGCTGGTTCTGAATTAGAGACCAAAGAGAGAAAAGGATTTATATTTTTATTCAATGAGGGGAAAAAAAATCTAATTCTCATCAAAATATTCTAAATTCCAAGCTGTATATGAAGAAAATCATTCTAGCTAAAAAAAAAAAAAACACTTCATAATTCCACCCAAATATGTATTTATCAATGACGGAATAAATACTGCTGATTAGTATAATTAATCCTTAAGAAAATGCAAACATTTACAAATTACAGAACATACAAAAATTAGATAAAGAAAGAGAGATAGAGAAAAAAAAGGTAAAGTAAAGCCTAACATTGCAAACATTTTTTACTTCCCTATCCAGAAACATGCATTCTGATGTCCTGTTTGTAAGTAAATAAAGCTTTTCATAAAATTTCACCTATGACAAATAAACTCCAAGGAAATGAACTATCTCTATGAAATGTACAAGGCACCAACATGTATTCATAGCACTATTAATCTCTGCATGCATTCTGTGCAAGTCAAATGAAATACCAATAAAAAGAAGCTGCCACTGGGTAAGAGGGAATTATTTTCGATTTTCTTTTCAGTGAAAGAAAGCTCTCTTCTGATGCTTTAGCCTTTTATTCTTTGACAAATCAATTTGTTTATATATCAATTTATAGTTCTGATTTTCATATTTCATTATGATTTACTTTCTTTCATAAATAAGCAGCAAGTATAAACACAAAGCAGAGTAATAAACGAAATATACACTTTAGAAAAAAGAAAGACATCAACACACAACATCTGTATTTTACTTAGAGTTTACACCTTTATTCTGAACAATTTATGACTGCATTTAAAATTGCTAACTGGCCAAATGTAAACCAATTACTGTGTACCTTTCCTAAGTCCATCTTTCAGATAGTCATGCAAGGACAAGCCTGGAAAAAATTTGAATATACTGTAAAGTATTATCCACCCTTCTTGAATTAGCATGGAATTACAGAGGCTTGTGGGTCAATTTATAATGAATGACTGGTTATTCTAAAATAAATAAATAAATAAATAAATAAATAAATAAATAATAATTTAAAAAGCTGTCTTATGATATTCTAAATCCAATTATGTGATTTCATAATGGGAATATAAAAGTAATTTAGATTTAACCTTGAACAAGCTGGTAGAGTTCCAATGTCCGACACTGCCATTGCAGTCAGAGTTTTTGTTGCTGTGGACACTGCAGCACCAACAGCTGTCTCGTTGACACGTAGCATAGATTTCTGAAAGTTGCAAATTTGGGAACCAAGTAATGAAAGCTGCCATTTTAGTTCATGACATATACATCCATGTAAACAAATACCAGTTCTATTGTAAAATAGATGTATTAAAATGTTAAACTTTCATGCATACCTCCAACTTCCTGTAGCACTCAGATATGAACTTTGCATGCAACTGTGGCGGGTCACGCTTGAGTCGAGCTGATAATGACATGTATGACATGTCAAGCAAAAGCTTCATTGCATCTTCTGCAAGTAGCTCGTCCTGGCACTCTAGAACCAGCTGCCATATGAACTCCATTCCCAAGGGCTCTAACTTATCCACAGTCTGGTAATATCAAATATAAAGTAAAATCATTAAGCATGTTCTTTACATAACCATCAAAAAATTCATATGCATAAAAAAAAAAAACTAAATCATTAAAACATATTCTACTTACAATCACATTTCCATTCCTTATCAGTTTGTGATCATTGAGATTCACAGCATGGAAGTAATCAACAAAGCAGGTGAATGCAGGCCGGGTCATGGTTACAGGATCAAGACGAAGGAGTTTCTCACAGAATAGGTCACGCTGTGTGTTGTTCTCAAGATCGCCCAGGCAATCACTGAACCATGTGAAGCAAGTCTGAAAAATATTTATTTTCATTAAAACACATTAATGCTACCAGGGCTTACTCATCCTTCTCCCTAAGACGCTTTTATCTCAATTAACTGTGTTTGTTATGGTGTGAAAAGCTTTAGTGACTATTTAAAAATAAAAATTTAGCCATAATTATCAGAACATGCCAGAACATTTCTAAACTAGAAAAATAGTTCTCTATCATAATATGTCAAGCTCTCACATTTAAAAAATGAGATACTAACCTCTTTATCATGTCCAGATGCATTTACATTCCCAACAAGGGTTTCCCAAATGTCCTTGCATCGTGCCCAAGCCAGATAGATATCACCTTCTTTGAGCAAGAACTGGAGGAACTCCAAGTGCACTCGCATATACTGAAAGGAAATTTTATATTGGTAATATCTACCTTACAGTCAATCTGTCTTGCAACCTTTTGAGGATAAGAAGAGCTAAAGAAATACTATTGTTACAAAGCTACTTGACAGCAATTTTTCAAGTTTATTAACAAAAGTTATCACAATCAACAGATGAATAAATAAATTACCACTTTCCTTCATGAAGTTTACATTATCTATAATCAGTGTATTGCATATCAACTTTCAAGCAATGACACAAAATATGGAATTTCCTTAAATACAGTAAAATGCATTCCTAATAATAATAATTTTTAATAAAGTAAAAAAGTAAAAAAAAAAATGTGCTGTATAAATCAAAAGGACCTGAATATCAGTAGAACCTTTTTTAAAATGCTACAGAATTTTCCACAGAAGCAATTCTTTGGCAAACTGAATTAGGTCTGCTATGCTACTATGTCAACAGTTTTCAACATATGCAAAATAGCAGTCAACACTTACATCATCATGGGTATATTTCCCATCAATCATCGTAGATGGACAGGGCTGTTGGTTTCCACTTGCAGACACTGCAAGGGCATGGCACTTGCTAAGGCTTGAGGTGATGAGCTTGACAATTTCATGACTTCGATTCAGATCTGACAAGGTTGCCTGAAATTATGAAATAAATTGCTATTACTACTTTATTACTAATTCAATATAATAAAGAGTGTGAGTGAGTGAGTGAGTGAGTGAGTGAGTGAGTGAGTGAGTGAGTGAGTGAGTGAGTGAGTGAGTGAGTGAGTGAGTGAGTGAGTGAGTGAGTGAGTGAGACTGACTGACTGATTGACTGACTGCGTTTGTGTGTACCCATGCATGTGCATTGGCGCATGTTTTATGTTATACTGTCATGCTATAGTATGTTATGGTACAGTATGATTTGGAGTGGAGTGGAATGGAGTGACACAAGGTAAGGTAAAGTAAAGTATTAGTATAGTATGGTATCCTACAGTATTTTACCATATGTGATACGGAATGGCATCACCTACAGTATGATGTTGCATGGGATGGTATGGAACTGTGTGGCATGGTACTGACCTTCTCTGTTTTGAAGTATGAAGCCCCTCCTTTTGTAATGGAACGTGCAAGGTAGTGTAGCTGCTTCAGAGGAAGATAAACAGCAGGACTTCTTTTAATATCTTCCACACACCGCACTATGTATGACTTCCTCAACTGCAATTAAACAAAAATAAATAAATAAATAAATAAATAAATAAATAAATAAATAAATAAATAAATAAATAAATAAATAAATAAATAAATAAATAAATAAATAAATAAATAAATAAATAAATAAATAAATAAATAAATAAATAAATAAATAAATAAATAAATAAATAAATAAATAAATAAATAAATAAATAAATAAATAAATAAATAAATAAATAAATAAATAAATAAATAAATAAATAAATAAATAAATAAATAAATAAATAAATAAATAAATAAATAAATAAATAAATAAATAAATAAATAAATAAATAAATAAATAAATAAATAAATAAATAAATAAATAAATAAATAAATAAATAAATAAATAAATAAATAAATAAATAAATAAATAAATAAATAAATAAATAAATAAATAAATAAATAAATAAATAAATAAATAAATAAATAAATAAATAAATAAATAAATAAATAAATAAATAAATAAATAAATAGATAAATAAATAAATAAATAAATAAATAAATAAATAGAATAAAGAAAATTCATCTATTACAGACTTGTAAAATCAAGGTCATAAGTCCAACACAATATATTAGAAAACACAGGGCTAAAGGCTTGACTCTAAAACTATCTCTTGTTGTATGCATTCCTGGTGTCGGTAACACACATACCTGTTCCCTAGTGGCTGACTCATTGAGAATGGCAAGGTGTTCATTCATGGCCTGATGAACTAATCTTGGAGGCAAGGCTGGAACGCGTGCAAGCTCCCAAAGGGCATCCAGCATCTTCTCAGCCGTGCGACCTAATCGAGAGTCCTGGCCGATCTTTCCAATAAAGGAGAGCAGCTTCTCTCTCAGCCGATCATTACCTTCATCCCAGCTCTATGTAAAATGTGGAAAGATTAATAATAAACTGCAAAGGACAAACTCTCTTTCCTGACAACACTAAGCTATAGAGACAGCTAAAGATAGCATGAGAGGGAAAGATGGGAAAAATGATTACTATTCTATTAAAAAAAACACCAAACTAAAAAGCAAACAAAAAAAAGTGAGTTGATCTATAAATTCCAGCAAAGGCAAACTCAAAGAGAAGACTCCTTAGACCTTATTCAGTACCTTTCTGATAAGACTAAGAAGATGATCAAACTGGTGCGGATTAAAGCGCGTAGCAGCAGCAGCCATAATGCGGTGAATGTTGTCTACTACATGGGGACTGGCTTTTTCTGCCATGTGCCAAATACGTGTCAGTTCCTCTCCGCGTAGCAGCAGCAGCCATAATGCGGTGAATGTTGTCTACTACATGGGGACTGGCTTTTTCTGCCATGTGCCAAATACGTGTCAGTTCCTCTTCCTGCAGCTTTGGTCCCATAAACTCAACTAGTTCCTTCATCCGATCTGTGTACTGCACTTGGTCGATGTTACCTATATCGAGCACAATTAAAGATTTACAAATACATCCGATTGAAAAAAACACAAAAAACAATTTTGATGAAACCACAATCAAAAATAATCTGGAACAAATAATTGGTAATAAAGAGTATAAATACACAAATACTTCCACTTGTACAAATGTAATAATAAGTATATATAAATTATTTATTACTGTATGTAATTCTTTTACCCATAAATAATTAAATTCCAACATCTCTACAAAGGAATAAAAAATATCCAATCTAAATTTGAGATATAAGATAACTGGAGGATAGATATCTTTAAACAATCTAAAGTTTATATTTGTTTATCGTACAATTTTGCACAAAACATACAAAAGATGCAGAATGAAGAGCTCTTAAATTCCATGTTACAATGTATCTTATGTTTAAGTGTCTGACAATGCCAAGTGCTAACATGCATGAAATTACAGACTTGTGATATATCATCAACTAAAACACTATATTTCTCTGAGATATATTCCTTCAATAACCTTTCTTCCTAATTTTAATCATTATGTTATACTTTTACCTAAATATGCAACAAGAATTGCAAATCAGACTGTGCTCCATTTATCTTCAACCACACTTTATTTACTTCACAATTATCTGAACTTTTAATTAATTCATGCAATCTTGGGTTATTACTATACCCTAATACAATCAAAGCTACGGTCTTCCTGCTGTACTCCATGACCTATCTTCAATTAAATCCTTTGAGCCTACCTTCAAGAGCCAGAGACAGAACCCTATTCCTGGTCATCCACTCTTGTATAATGTCGGCATCGATGACATTGCCACGACGTCTCTCGCTGTCTTCGATTAGTCTTGCCAGTTCCTTAAATATGAACAAAATTTTATATACCTTTACTCTTTCTTTAATAAAATACATGGGAGAGAGAGAGACAGAGAAAATATACCAATATCTGCATCTCCATTCTCATTTTATTCAAATATATATATTTATGAAGCTTGCTTAATTGAATTATTTATAACAGAAGTTTAAAAACACCATTATCTAAAGAAAAAGATAATAAAATCACATGATTTTGACAAATTATGTATTTTGTGAAAAATAATAACATAGAACTTATGAAACTATTATTTTCATAAAGCTCTTCCTATTACTTTCCTAAAAATGGATTTGAAACCTATTATGGAATGCATAGAAAAATCCTGTCAACACACACCTACTCCTAAGAGAAGTAAATTTAAAATACAAACCTTAAGTGCATTCATTCTTGCCGAAAAATGAGGCGTCTTCAACATGCGAATGATCATTTCCAGTCTAAGGTCACTGGTTCGTTGTACCTCCTCAGGCCAAAGAGATACGCACAAGAGTCGAACAGCTTCAAGAAGCTCATAACAAGATCCAATTTTCTGGAACATTAATAACACTGATTATAGCACATGTTCTCTGAGCATTCACAATGTTTTCCATATTCTTACAAAAATCTATTTTCACAGGTCTTCTAATTGAAACTTAACCAAACAAACTCACCTGTCCCTTGAGTTGCTTTTCCTCCAAATTTGCCACATAATTAAGTGCCTGTGTGACAGCTGGCTGCAAAATGGGACATACTATATCCCGGATTAAGAACTTAGCACACTGTCCGAGAGGAAGAAGCAGAGCTGCCATCTGGCCTGCTGTCAACTCTTCTCCAGAAGCAAATCGTCCTGCCACCAGCTCTAGACCACCACGGTTGCCATATATATTAATAATGTCCACCAGCCAACCGTATAATTCCTGAAAAATTTTCATTTTGATATTTGCAACAGATCTATCAAAATAAAAGACCATTTACTCAATCCTATAAGAAAGTAATACATTTCATATATCTTGCAATTTTCAATCAACTGTATTCTTTGTATAACTAAACTGCTTACAAATTGTGATGGTGATTCAGCATATGTAGTATCTCCAATGAATTCCGCTGGTCTGTGTTTATTCTTCTGGTTCCACTCACATTCAGAATCCATTGCCTAAGGAGACCAAACATGCAGATTCAGCTCAAAATACCATAATAAATCACAAAAAATTATATACAGTCTTGGAGAACACATCATCAAAACATCTCTTACAAAAAGTATTAAGTCAAAGGAACTAGAAATATACATGACTTACAAGAGCATAAGAATTTTTTAGTAAAGCTTCAGGAATGGGCCCTTGTTTAAGCCTTGCAATGACAAGATTGGTCAATAAGTCCAGCAAGTTAAACACCCCCTCCTGTATCTCGGGCCCCCATCTCCGCACGGCACCATTCGCTAGTAGCTTCTGAAAGCACTCGGGCAAACACCGCTCCATAAAGCGCTGACACGATTCGTCTGCATCGCAGAGACCTGGACATAAAGAAGGTAATTAGTACAGTGGGGGGGGGGGGGGGAAAAAAAAAAAAATGTCATTACAATCTTCCTTCTAATACACAAACTATTCAAAACTACACAATTACAGCATTGAGATACCTTCTTCAGCTAGACGTGTTGCTGCAACCAGACACTTCCCTAAAGACTCTTCTCGTTTGTAAGGGATTGACCAAGTGTCAGTAAAAACACGGCCCTCAAGCTCATACAAGTTGGTTGTTGGAAATTCCATGCTGTTCCCATTGTCACCGCCAGCCTGAAAAAAATTGCAAATGTAGATTAAGAACATCGTACATTGGTTGCATATAACCTTATTAGTTATCACTTTCTTATAGAATGGGTTCATCACCCATATATTTCTTTGAAGAGTGTATAAGCACTTCTAAAAATCAATTTTATTTTTATTTTCTTTACATTTATTGTTATTTTCTTTACATTTATTCCCATACCACAGAACAAATAGAACAGAATATATGCAAAACATATGAAGAACAGGAATGGCGAATACAGTCCTAAATTCTTCATATTAGCTCAAACTTTCCATTCTTAGCCAGTGGGTTCAATGCTGGTATAATGACAAAAAAAAAAGTTTGTTGTTCGTTAAACAAACAGCCAAAGGCCTGAATCCCATATTGACTTCATAATGAAAATCAGCAATATCATTATTAACTGGAGTTTTTAAATTCTCTTTTAGTCAATTGCATATATGTTTATCTTTAAACCTTCTTGATAGAGAGCAATTTTGCTTCTACACTCTCCATTCCACCTGATTTTCAGTAAACCAAAATCTACATTTTTTAAAAATTATTTTAAAAAATCTATATTAGCAATTCTTGTGTAAAATATCAAAATAAATGATACTGTAATTGACTGTAATTGACTGTAATCCAGTGAATGCTTCATAGAATATTGCAACTGTATGTTACTGCAATATCTTGACCGAAGAAAATGGAAAAATATAGTTTACTAAACACTACTACAATCTTTAATTATCCAAAGACAGTATTGATCTGACTGGTTACCATCAGTAATAACAAAGGATTACTTAACCATCATTTTTTCAAATTACATACCAATTCCAACTTTAAATACATAATGAACAGTTTCTGTAGAAAAAGTTACACACATTACCATATTATTCCCTCTCCATAACAGCAGATAAGTCTTTTTAATGTATGATTAATGTATGATTCTGCAGACAATCACATATATCATGTGAACTAGAAATGAGCATTTTACATTGAGATAACAAATTCATGTGCATGGCATATTTGAAACAATCTACCAAGTTGATAAGCCTACCACTATTACTACTACAATACCACTATGTATATAAATGTCAAAATCTACCACATTGAAAACTGCCTCCTCTATTACTACTCTTCTTCTTCTTCTTCTTCTTCTTCTTCTTCTTCTTCTTCTTCTTCTTCTTCTTCTTCTTCTTCTTCTTCTTCTTCTTCTTCTTCTTCTTCTTCTTCTTCTTCTTCTTCTTCTTCTTCTTCTTCTTCTTCTTCTTCTTCTTCTTCTTCTTCTTCTTCTTCTTCTTCTTCTTCTTCTTCTTCTTCTTCTTCTTCTTCTTCTTCTTCTTCTTCTTCTTCTTCTTCTTCTTCTTCTTCTTCTTCTTCTTCTTCTTCTTCTTCTTCTTCTTCTTCTTCTTCTTCTTCTTCTTCTTCTTCTTCTTCTTCTTCTTCTTCTTCTTCTTCTTCTTCTTCTTCTTCTTCTTCTTCTTCTTCTTCTTCTTCTTCTTCTTCTTCTTCTTCTTCTTCTTCTTCTTCTTCTTCTTCTTCTTCTTCTTCTTCTTCTTCTTCTTCTTCTTCTTCTTCTTCTTCTTCTTCTTCTTCTTCTTCTTCTTCTTCTTCTTCTTCTTCTTCTTCTTCTTCTTCTTCTTCTTCTTCTTCTTCTTCTTCTTCTTCTTCTTCTTCTTCTTCTTCTTCTTCTTCTTCTTCTTCTTCTTCTACTACTACTACTACTACTACTATACCTTAATCACAACTTTGTAGCTCAGGCTCAAAGTTAAGAGAGATGTTTGTTTAGAAAAAATAAAGACATTCTGCACCAGACTTTTCCTGATACACTGTCTTTGTCAGACCTTCCTTCTTTCACTCACTCACTCACTCACTCACTCACTCACTCACTCACTCACTCACTCACTCACTCACTCACTCACTCACTCACTCACTCACTCACTCACTCATTCTTTCTTTTTCCTATTTTTTTTTTTTTTTTTTTTTGGGGGGGGGGTATAAACAAAGTTTTTAGCAAAATTTTAGCTTTTCATGGAATAAACTAAATTAAAGCAGTCATACTATGAAAGGCACTAGGATAGGGACAGGTTTGGAAATCTAAATTTTGATGACATCCAGACTAGTTTTAATTCATCAACTAGTATTATCTTCTTTTAGCTCATAAAAACTGGTAGAGAGGTCTTTTACATGTCTACTTATTAATTTGATTCTGTAAAACCTTTTAAATTTTTTTTAATTATGCCACTACCCTTCAGTCATTTCATATCTGTTTAGAATAAGGCAGATTATTCCATACAAGGCAAAAATATTCAAAATGCACATGAATTCTGCATAATCAAAAATCTCCATTCTCCATTTCCATGGCCTCACAATCTGTTATTATTGCAATTTATTCTAAAAAAATTATTGACATCTCAATATAGCTGAGGCAGAGGTAAACATCCCCATGCCGCATATTTCTGCTACATTTGGTTAGTAAACACTGACAGCAGTCCACTTACACCAAAATTGATGGGTTTTAATATAAGGACTGGTTCTAGAATATTACCCATGATGTCACACTAGGCATGTCACTCAGACCTGTCCTGGCTCTATCTTGCTGGCGGGATGAGTTAGAGATTCTACATGAAAGGCTGGAGGTTTTAGGGTGCAGAGAACACTAATAATAACAAAATTACATAAATACCACCTGATCTAACCTTGCCATTTCCCTATGAAACCTCATGCCCTCCACACCTAGTAGGCCTTGTGTTATTGCTACTATTCCCTAAAACCACCATAAATGAACACCAGATGGCATAGTGTCAGTTTTGCACAGCCATATGGTACAAGATAAATTTTGCCTTTAATGGACAGAGAGACAGAAAGTCAGACACTTTTCATTTATGGTATTCCCTTCACAAATTTGTAACAAAAAACTGTGTAACCCTTAATAATTTGGTATACAATTAAAGGAAAAAATTTAATTACACTGAGGAAAGGTAATATTTTATTCCCACAAACTTACTATTCCTTTTTTCAATTATTCACATTGTAATGCCTATGTATCTCCTGTTATTTTCTATCATAAATGATATTAATGAAAGTTTTGGTAAATGTTTATGAAGTTTCTAGTACTATGGCATTCCAGGCAATCCATGAACTTCACCATATGAACCAAACCTAACCCAGGGTCTTTGTCCCCCAGACCCCACCCAACTGCCATATTTTCCTATAAGGGTTCCACCCCCAGGCTTCCACCCAATCGCCGTGGACTTACCATCCGTATGGTATTAATAACGACCTATTTTTATATTTCTAATGTCATTCTTTGCCTATGCAGATTATTTCATATATGTCACTGAATACAATTTTCCTTTCTTTATATTAATGTCATTTTCATGCAAATGTATATCAAAGTACTACAAGTTGCAGAGCTTTCTTATTATTAACTTGCAAGAGAGATCCCATATGTGAAAAATGTCTTATTTTCTGTAAATATATCCATTACAAGTTTACCTTGTACCATATGGCTCTGTGATACAAAAAAGAAAAAAAGGAAAATTTCCCATGTGACACATGAAATAATATGCGCAGACATAAAAATAGAAAATAGCTCGCAACAAATGCCACATACAGGGTAAGTCCTGGGCGATCAGGTGTGGGTCTGAAAGCAGAGTTCCCGATATTATGCCACTACCCTTCAAGGGGTCTTGAGAAGGAGCTCCTATGTCGGGGTTGATTTAATTGATGATAATGGATTCCCAGGAATGGATGGAGTAATAACAACTTAGTCTATGAGGAGTATAAGTACTTCTTAAACAACTGCCAAAACTAACACTTATATTATTTATGGAAAACAACAAGAGATTTACGAATATCGTGAATAATCAAAACAGGGAATAATAATAGCAAGGTAGGACAACTGAGTGAAACTAAAAACATAACCCACCGAATATTAAGAACAACCCAACCACAACACAACAAACGGAATCAAAGCTGCAGACTATTCCGAGAAAATTGCCCCCCTAGGCAATCGCTCGTACGCCACAATGCCACAACACTACCGCCTCCAAGCCAAGCCCCCCGCAGCACCACCCACCTCATCGTACGTGGGCGGCCCCTGCGTCTCGGCCATCTCCACGTCCCTGAGGTCGTCCACCGTCGAGTACGAGGTGAGGGGCTGCTCCGTCAGGTAGATCACGGCCTCGTTCACCTCGCCGTTGCTCAGCTTCAGGGCCCTTTTGATGGCTCGCACGTCGGGGAACCCCATGTTCAGCAGGAGGGAGATATTCTCGTCCTCCTGCTCCATCCTGTCCCCGTGGAAGGAGGACGGTCGGTCCCTGCAAGTCTCCCGGTAACACCTGTTTTTAAAAGTCTCTCCGTGGCATTTTCTCCTCCCCTTCCACACCACTCTGTCCACTCACAGCAACAGGTGAGCTATGTCGCCCAATTTCCAAACGTGTGGACTCCCTCTGCTTTCCGACATCGAGGATTTGCAACGATCCCTCGACGAAAATTCACATGATAGTCTCAAAACACGTGTATTTTCCGCGCGAGGTGTGGCCGGAGCTCCAGGAACGCCTCAATGTTTACAACTTGTGCCAGCGGCCATGTTGAGGCTCCAACTGTCGACATGCTCTCTCTCTCTCTGCTCCGGCTCTTTATTTTCCCTCTCTGTGAGGCATTTCTATGCTTTAATTTTGCCTATTTTGATGGAGATTTATGGAGGGAGTTTTAATTATGGGAAGGAGATTTTTATGCGATCGATTTAACATTTTTCGATCTCAGGTTATTCTCACGGTTGGTATAAAATTTTCCAAGTATGAATAGTTTTTTTTGCAATTTTCTTCTTAAGTCTTTAATACTATTTAGTGAAACTTGAGGCTCTGAAGTATGTAGTTCACGCATGCACTATTTTATCAAATATAAATAAAATTTTCTCTCTAAAACTGTAATTGTCGTTAAGATATCGAGTTGTTTTTTTTACACCTTAGAAAGTAATGCCGATTTCCACATTTATACCATTAACCTTTGCGCAAGTATTTTCTCCCGTTTTCCTTGCCACGATTCACTTTAAAAAATAAAACTCAGCATTTTAAAACAATATATGACCAAACATATCGAACCGCGAATTAAACCGCTCACAAGACCTCGCTAATTTTATAACATTTATATAGATGATTCGCGTATGACTACATTCTGA